GTGTAATCAGTGTGGTGCAAAGATTTACATACTTCTAAACGAGCATTTAAACACACGTGTGAGTGCATGTAGGACATAACCTCAGTGATTTCTGAATTTAAATCATTTGGAAGTGACACAGCAGAGATGGGAACTGTGGCATCAACAAGTCAACTCCTTGCCATGATTTTGTGCTGCTCAGCAACTGAACAAAGTTCATTCACTGTTCTGATTGAAATTGTCGTCGTCATCGTCGTCGTCTTCCTCCGCTTATCCGGGTCTGGGTCGCAGAGGCAGCATCCCAACTAGGGAGCGCCAGACTGTCCTCTCCCCGGCCACCTCCACCAGCTCCTCCGGCAGGACCCCAAGGCATTCCCGGACCAGATTGGAGATGTAACCTCTCCAACGTGCCCTGGGTCGACCCGGGGGCCTCCTGCCGGCAGGGCATGCCCAAAACAACTCCCCAGGGAGGCATCCAGGAGGCTTCCTGACCAGATGCCCAAACCACCTCAACTGACTCCTTTCGATCCGGAGGAGCAACGGTTCTACTCCGAATCCCTCCCGAATGTCCGAGCTCCTCACCCTATGTCTAAGACTGAGCCTGGCCACCCTACAGAGGAAACTCATTTCGGCTGCTTGTATCCGCGACCTCGTTCTTTCGGAAATTACCTAAAGCTCATGACCATAGGTGAGGATTGGGACGTAGATCGACCGGCAAATCGAGAGCCTGGCTTTCTGGCTCAGCTACCTCTTCACCACGACAGATCGGCTCAGCGTCCGCATCACTGCAGACGTCGAACCAATCCGCATGCCAATCTCCCGATCCCTCCTACCCTCACTTGTGAACAAGACCCCAAGATACTTAAACTCCTCCACTTGAGGTAGGACCTCTCTCCCGACCCGGAGTTGGCAAGCCACCCTTTTCCGGTCGAGAACCATGGTCTCAGATTTGGAGGTGCTGATCCTCATACCAGCCGCTTCACACTCGGCCATGAACCTACCCAGCAAGAGCTGAAGGTCAGAGCTGGATGAAGCTAGGAGGACCACATCATCTGCAAAAAGCAGAGACGAGATTCTCCTGCCACCAAACTCGACACACTCCACACCACAGCTGCGCCTAGAAATTCTGTCCATAAAGGTAATGAACAGAACCGGTGACAAAGGGCAGCCCTGGCGGAGTCCACCCCTCACCGGGAACAGGTCCAATTTACTACCGGCTATGCGGACCAAACTCACGCTCCTCTGGTAAAGGGACTGAATGGCCCTTAACAGAAAGCCACCCATCCCATACTCCTGAAGCGTCCCCCACAGGGTGCCCCTGGGGACACGGTCATAAGCCTTCTCCAAATCCACAAAACACATGTGGATTGGTTGAGTAAACTCCCATGCCCCCTCCGTCACCCTTGCAAGGGTATAGAGCTGGTCCACAGTTCCACGACCAGGAGGAAAACCACATTGCTCCTCCTCAATCTGAGATTCAAGTATCGATCGGACCCTCCTCTCCAGTACCTTGGAGTAGACCTTTCCAGGGAGGCTGAGGAGTGTGATCCCCCCTATAGTTGGAACACACCTTCAGGTCACCCTTCTTAAAGATGGGGACCACCACCCCAGTCTGCCACTCCACATGAACTGCCCCCGATGACCACGCAATGTTGCAGATACGTGTCAACCACAACAGCCCTACAACATCCATAGCCTTGAGATACCCAGGACGAATCTCATCCGCCCCCAGTGCTCCGCCGCTGTGTGTTTGACTACCTCAGCAACTTCTGCCCCCAAGATTGGACAGTCCATCCCCAGGTCTCCCGGCTCTGGTTCCTCCTCAGAATGCGTACAGGTGGGATTAAGGAGCTCCTCAAAGTATTCCTTCCACCGTCCGACTATATAGCTCCGGGAGTTGACGTCACTTCTCCCGGCATGCAACAGTTCAAATCGAAACGGCGCCATATTGGCATGCAGAAGCCCGCAGCTGGACTATTTGTTATTGTCAGAAAACTCAATCAAACAGGAAATATGGTAGATTCCTGTTGTGCTCCAGGATGCAGAACAGACGCGGACGACATAAGGAATGAGCCGTCTACAGGATTCCCCAAGATCCGGAGCGCCACAGACGTTGGTTGATTGTAATAAAACGTGCTACTGACCGGGCTAAAATGAAACTGTGGGATCCCGAGAGTAAAGGTTTTCGATTATGCAGCGACCACTTCAAATCAGGTACTTAAACCAACGTTTCCTCAACTGTATATGGTATTTATTTTAAATGCTTTTATTACGATTTTTAGTGGGCTTCCTAAACTTATTTTGGCATGGCTTTTTCTGTCTTATTACTCATAGCAACAAGTAAACATCACTTAAAACGTTGCCTCGTGATTTCTGCGTGCTGCCGTTTACGTGTTTTATGATCACAGCAATTAACCGGCTAAGCTGTATTTAATTTTTAAGCAATGGTTGATCAATTGTCAGATCACACATAACAAGCACTTTGGATTGCTATTATCTGTCTCACCGAGACAGATCTAAGACAGATCCTGAGACGCTCCTGCCTGACATATTTATTTTATTCACGGAAAAAAATCAAACTAGTGATTTCTCTTGGCGTTCAGTTTATACATTCAAACAACACAGCACTCTATTTAAACTACTTACATGTAAATCTATGTTATTTGTCCATCCATCCATTTTCTTCCGCTTATCCGGAGTCGGGTTGCGGGGGCTGTAGCGTCGAGAGCCCCAGACTTCCCTCTCCCCAGCCACTTGGGCCAGCTCCTCTGGGGGAATCCCAAGGCGTTCCAGGGCCATGTCCAGTACGAAGTCCGCTCCGACAGCTTCTGGCATTTTTAAAAAGTATCCCAGGGGCACGGTAAAGGTTGGAGATGTTTAATCTATTTAATTTCTGACTGTATAAAATGATTTCTTCGGTTTTAAAGTGTGAAGTAAACTCAGACGAAGTAAAATCCAAGCCGATCCCATTCATCTTGTTTACATTTGTTGCCTGCCAGCATGGTGTCTACTCTCTGAGAGTCACGTGACGTCCGGAGCTCTATAGCCCCAGTTGATGTCAGCAGCTCCCCATCCCCACTGTAAACAATGTGAGCGAGTTGCTGCCTCTCTCTCCTGAGGCGCCGGACAGTTTGCTAGAACCTCTTTGGAGCCAATCGATAGTCTTTCTCCATGGCCTCACCAAACTCCTCCCACACCCGAGATTTTGCCTCGGCAACTGCCACTGCTGCACCCCGATTGGCTATCCGGTACCTGCCTGCTGCCTCCGGAGACCCACAGACCAACCATGCCCTGTAGGCCTCCTTCTTCAGCCTGATGGCTCCCTGAACCTCTGGTGTCCACCAGCGGGTATGGGGGTTGCCACCACGACTGGCACCGGCCACCTTGCAACAACAGCTAGCAACAGCCGCCTCAACAATCGCAGAGTGGAACAAGGCCCACTCGGAGTCAATGTCCCCCACTGCTTTCGGGACGCGGTCAAAGCTCTGCCGAAGGTGGGAGTTGAAGACCGTCTTGATAGGTTCTTCTGCCAGGCGTTCCCAGCAGACCCTCACTATGCGTTTGGGTCTGCCAGGTCTACGCGGCATCTTCCCCTGCCATCTGATACAACTCACCACCAGGTGGTGATCAGTTGACAGCTCCACTCCTCTCTTCACTCGGGTGTCCAAAACATACGGCCGCAGGTCAGATGATATGACTACAAAGTCTATCATCGACCTGCGGCCTAGGCTGCCCTGGTACCAAGTGTACCGATGGGCATCCTTATGTTCGAACATGGTGTTCGTTATGGCCAAACTGCGGCTTGCACAGAAGTCCAATAATGAAACACCACTAGAGTTCAGATCAGGTGGGCCGTTCCACCCAATCACACCCCTCCAGGTCATGCTGTCATTGTCCACGTGAGCATTGAAGTCCCCCAACAGGACAATGGAGTCCCCTGGTGGAGCACTCGTCCCAGGGACTCCAAAAAGGGTGGCTACTCTGAACTGATATTTGGCCCATAAGCACAAACAACAGTCAGGACCCATTCCCCGACCCAAAGGCGCAGGGAAGCTACCCTCTTGTCCCCCGGGGTAAACCCCAACACACAGGCAGAGAGTCTTGGGGCTAACAAAAAGCCAACACCAGCCCTCTGCCTCTCACCCGGAGCAACTCCAGCAAAGGAGAGTGTCCAACCCCTCTCAAGGACTTGGGTTCCAGAGCCAATGCTATGTGACGAGGTGAGCCCGACTATATCTAGCCGTTACCGCTCAACCTCTGCCACAAGCTCCTGCTCCTTCCCCGCCAGCGAGGTGACGTTCCATGTCCCAAAAACCAGTTTCCTTGTCCGGGGATCGGACCGCCAAGGCTCCCGCCTCGGTCTGCCACCCCATCCACACTGTACCGGACCCTTCATGTTCCTCCTGCGGGTGGTGGGTCCACAGTTGGATGAGCCCATGTATCCGGTTCGGGCATCCTTCGGGAGATGACTTGTTGATGCCACAATTCCCCATCTCAGACAAAGTGCTTTAGTTATGATGCTATTGGCAAAGAAAGCAGAAATGTTACAAATTATCCATTTCTACTGTGATGAATGCCCAAACCCAGCCTAATAAAGTTTATAAACAAACACAAAAAAAGCCTAGCCCATGGGCATGGCCAGCACCAGCTTGTTATAAAGTGACAGAGCCCTGAAACGGCTCATTATGGAAGGTACTGAAAATGTCACGAATAAAGCTGATGAGATTACGTGAGGCTGCAGATGGATGCTCTCAAAGCTAGTGGAGCCCTGATCTAACAACTGGACCAACTTTAGGAGACAGCCCAGATGCTGCTGGATTTTCTTGGTGCCCTGAATGGTTCCTTGCATATGCAGTAGAAACCAGGAAGCACTTTGTGATTAATTGAATTAAAACTAAGGCAACAAACTTTCTTTTTTTTTGTCATAGCCGTACATCCACCTTACACAGGCTCACTGTAGGGTCTATTATAAGTTTTTGTTTGTGGAATGTCATCAGTATGCGTGTCTTTTCTCCCCCCAGCTAATGCCAACAGTCAGCGGCTACACAAAAGGTCCCTGTGGAGGAGAAGTAAAGGTGTCAACAGCCAGCAGGAGCAGAGGAAACAGCACTGAGCAGCACTGAATGGACAAACAAGAGAGAGACATAAAGAAACCTTCTTGTAAAGAAGCATGGACCCTAATGCAAATGTCTGAAGAAGAAGTTAGCATGCCCCTCTCTGTACACACACACACAAAGCACAAGCAGATACTGACAGTTGATGTTTTGGATATGTGAGCGTTACTCTGCACCCTCTGGAAGTAGGATTTATGACCTTTGATAACATGTTATACACACACAAATAAATAAATAATAAAAAATAAACAAAAATAAAATGTCATACACACAGCATTCATAACCCAACATTTTAGTTTTTCTCATTAAATAGACATTTAATTAGTCCTGGCTTAAGAGAAGCTCTTTCATGGTGTGAGGCGTAACAAGAAAAGTCCAAAACTGTTTATAATCTTCCCCTGATTCAGCGTTTTTTCTAATCTGTAACTCACCCTTTTGTGAGTGTGTGTGTGTGTGTGTGTGTGTGTGTGTGTGTGTGTGTGGGTGGGTGGGGGTGGGGGTGGGGTGGGGGGTCTAGGCTCTATTTCTCTCTGGAGCAGCAGTGATCCATTAGGCCTTTTGGGTGTGACACTGATACAGAATACAACTGCTTTTTTTGATTTGGTCATTAAAATATAAAAAGACAAAAATCTAAAAGCAAAGAATCAGAGACACTTCAAAGCATTTCATCTTGTCACAACCCAAAGCTTGACCATCCACTTTGCTACCAGATCCACGCAGCAAAAGAGTTTGTCAAATGATTGAGGTGTTGATATAAACCAGGTTGAAAATAAGTGCAACAAAACCTGAATTGAAAAAAAATCTGCATTTATGCACTTTTTGAGTACTCTAATTTGTCCTAACCGTTTGAATCCAGCACACTCTAACAGAGTATAAAAGAGTGTGTTTGTATTAAGTGAACTTGCGGGCTGGCAGGGCAGGGGCCACCGGGGCAGTCTTTATTTGTCACAGATCCAGTCGGATGGTCTTCGTCCGGCACCAGAGCCACAGCATGGCGAGTTCCTCAATGCAAATATCCTCACTATAGCTCTTTGAACAGCAGGATCTGTCAAGTTACCCAGCACCAACATTTTAACTGTTTCATCTTCATATTTCCTGAGTTGTTTGTTCTGAGAGCCAACAATACAGAAAAACTGATGTTTCCAGAAACATCATGGTGAGATATGTTCTTTCATATCATTTTGTGTTTGACACAAACCTTTGTCCTCAGAATCTAAAACAGCTGGACTAACTCGATTCAGTAAAGTATGAAAATAGCTTTGAGCACAAGGGAGCATCAAGACTACCCTCTACTCTCAGAACAAACACTCCACTTCATTCATTTCTGACTTCTCATTCAACGACAGTTATAGTTTGTAGTCTTTAAAGCACACACAGCTTAACAAAATGAAATAAAACTGCACAAAGTGCTCCTTTTACAAAAATAAATGAGAGGGACAGATAGATTTAGACCTAACTGAGGTGTTCAATGGTTGGTCTGTAACTTGGAGAAACTTCATCACAAAGAATTGTTTAAGAAATTACTTGGTTAAAATAATAGTTGGCTGCTGGAATGAGTGTATTCCAACGTGTTATCAATTATGAACAAACTGATATGATAAACCAACAAAAACCAAGCAGAAAGACAAAACTGCTGCTGTGACTTGGTTCTGATTCTGAATCCTGGTGTGAACAAACCAAATAAAACATGGAATCATTCGTCTCAGTGAATTCATTACCGCCTGTTCAGCTGGTAGTTAGCAGAGATTACTTTTTGCTTCATGAATTGGAATCTCACACTCTTGTGTTTCCTGGAAACACCTTTCCAGAGCTAGTTTCCTTGTACCTCCCTGTGGAAGTCAAAGAGTAAAAAAACAAGCAATGAATTACTCCTTCACCAGGATCTACAGAGGCTACGTTCATACAGCAGTCACAGCAAACAGGCCTGCTCTGTGTGTGTGTGTGTGTGTGTGTGTGTGTGTGTGGGTGGGTGGGTGTGGGTGGGTGTGTGTGGATAGGTGGGTTTTGGTGTGTGTGTGTGTGTGTGTGTGTGTGTGTGTGTGTGTGTGTGTGTGTGTGTGTGTGTGTGTGTGTGTGTGTGTGTGTGTGTGTGTGTGTGTGTTCCACTGTTCCTAAACGCTTGCTTAGTATGAGGATTGCTGTAAAGTCAAGTCACTGACACTAGTCAGTGACTTGATGCAATTTGCTGGGTTCCTCGTATAGGAAACTTTTTTCTGATTGGCTTAATGAACCAACCTATATTGGATTTAAGTGATTTGGTACTATATAAATAAACTTTGAATTGAATGTTTTACAGCTCCAAGTGTGCAACGAGCCATGAATGCTGCATTGAGTTCTAGGCTTTCTTGTAATCTATCTATCTATCTATCTATCTATCTATCTATCTATATATATATATATATATATATATATATATATATATATATATATATATATATATAAGGGGCAGCAATCGCTCAATAGGTTGAGTGGATTGTCCAGTAATTGGAAGGTTGCAGGTTCAATCCCGGATCCGGACAGAGAATTCTGCTGGTGTGTCCTTGAGCAAGGCACTTAGCCCATCTTGCCTCACCCCCGTCAGAGCGCCCCAGGGCAGCATGTGGCTACATCATAGCTCATCACCATCAGTGTGTGAATGTGTGTGTGTGAATTGATGAATGATACACTGTAGTGTAAAGCGCTTTGGAGTCCTTACTCTGAGAGGCGCTATACAAGTGCAGGTCATTTATCATATATGTCAGGGATCCTTTTAACCGGATATTTTTCCGTATTTGCCAGTGACAGAAGCATTGTAAGGCACCCCTAACTCATCCAGATGTGCAGACATTTTCAAAAGGTAAGTTTTGAATAATATGTCACCTTTAAACCATCTTTATTTATGATGGTGGCAGAGGATTGCCCATCCTGGAGGGTTGTAGGTTAAAGCCCACTCTGTCACTGTCGCTGTGTCTTTGGGCAAGAAACATAACTGCTGATGGTGGTGCCTGTGAACAGCATTCTCCCTGTCAGTTTCCCTCGGAGCAGCCGTGGCTAAGTTCTAGCTCATCACTGTCAGCGTGTGCGTGGGTGAATGACTGGTTAGTTGTAAAGGGCCTCGGGGGGGTTGTAGAACCCTAGGAGCTATATAAATACAGGCTAATTAAAATTTTATTATCTTTATTCATTTAAAATATCTTTTTTCTCCTTTTTTTATTGGAGCAAGCCTTTGAGCAGGCTATTGGAGGAACCCATGAGAGTTGTGGACAGCTTTAAGAATATTGATGAACTGACACAGGAGGGAAGCTAGCCTGTATTTATGTAGTGTCTTCTACAGTGCTGCAAGGGATGCATGCATACATCCCCGTGTCTAATTCCTTGGGGTATAGGTGGAGATTAAAGGACAGACACAGGTGAGCATAGCTGGTTGAGTATGTGCAGCACCTTTAAAACAGTCTAGAAACTTCATGGCATAAATGATCTTGTTTTGTAATTCTGATGTAAAAGACAACATGCTGGGTTTTTAGTTTGAACTGTTATCAGACTTTCATCTAATTGTTCTAAATGTATTGTTAATGAGCATATTCTTCTCTGTGTTTAATATTTTTGTCCTTCATTTATTCAGCTAGAACAGGGGTCGGCAACCTGTTCCCATCAAAGACCCATTATTACCCGTTTCCCACAGGAAAGAAAACACTGGGAGCCACGGCGTTGTGGGCGGGGCCTCCCCTTAGACAGCAGAGAGCTGCTTTAACCAATCACAACAGGTGACAGCAGCCGGTACCGGTCGCTCGTGTACGTCAAAGCTGTCTTTCGTAAGAAGATAATCAATAAAACGATTTATATAAAGATGATCCAGAAGCTGTAGCCCGTCTCTGCCTACAATATTTTGATATTTTTCACCCTGTTGGTGGTTTTACTGAGCAGGTGCCACTTTTGTCATACGTTTCTTTTTAAAACATGTTTAGACTGTTCAGAATACAAATCCAGGCTCTGTCACGTTTGATTGTTGTAATTAAACTTTGTAGGTGGGGAAGGTCAGAAAAGGATCCGATCAATTTGTTTTTCCCTCGTTTACAATGACGGAGATAACGGCGCAGTGCGCCTGGCTCTGGTGTTAATCAAGTTAAATTATATCTCTTTGCAACAATTTTCACAAGAAAACAAAACAGTTAAAAGCAGGGCTTGTGTTGACCGGATAGTTCCCGTATTTGACCGTTTATTTTGACGGAGAAAGAATAGAAAGAATTACCCCGACGCATGCAGACGAACTGACACTTTATTCGTTTCGCACATCACAGATGTAGCTAAATCACTCAAGAAAAGATTTCCTTCTGAACATCTGAGCTGGACACTGCTGAGCGCAGCTCCTTGTCAGCGCGTACGTACGGCGCACAGCAAGCTGAGGATGTGGAGAGGGGCTTGGAGTGCGCCGCAGAACCAGAGCGCATGCAGGAAGATTCCTCCGACTGAAGCGAGACTTGTCACTTAGAAAATGTTCCCTGATTATGAAACTTTGGCTGAATAGCGCTTGTTCCTGTCTCCAATGTGGCGACACATCCAGTAGCCGTCTGAGGAGAATCCCAGAATCTGACATCCTCGTCAGCTCAGAACACGCATATAATTACGCACAAGCGTGACGCATCAACCCGGTCTCACAGTAAGACCGGGTTGGAACTGTTCAGGTTTACGCAGACAATCTTTACATTTAGAATTGGCATACAGATGTAAAATTAATGTAGTAAAATATAAAGCATTTTATTTAAATATCCACTCGTTATTTTACAAGCACAGAGAGCCGCATCAGATGGATGGAAGAGCCGCATGCGGCTCCAGAGCCGCGGGTTGCCGACCCCCGAGCTAGAACTAGAAAATCAACCTCTGGTCTAGCCTTGCAAGCCATCATATGCAGGGCAACATAATTTTGCTTCAGCAGCTGAAGATAGTTTTCTAGGCTACCCAACCATGAGCTCTAAAGATCTGCTTCTTTTTATCACATAGACTTCAGGAGGCTACCTCATTTCAAAGCAACTATGATGAGGCTGGTGAAGGAAAAAGACTGGACTGTCTGTTCCCACAACTAACTGAGTTTTATTAATAACAGCCAAGTCTACGGAATTACTGCCAAGTCGTTTTCGGGTATAAAAGGATTGCTTGATATTTAGGAATTTAATTGATGTGTAGACAAAACATTTAATGTAGAATAATTCATATATTTGAACTTACTAAAGAATCAGCACACCAAATATTTTTCAGTAGGTTTTATTTGTAGAAAATACAAATGCCAAGAAACAAATAAAACATTTGAGGGAAATAATTATTTCTTCTTTCAAGTGACAGTTCATATATAACAACAGAGAAAAGCAGAGCTCAAGGTGTCTACAGAGCACTTTTACAGAATAACATGTTTCACACTGGTAAACACAAGCTAGTTAGTGAATGTCCAACAAAACAATAATGCGATAGAAATGTTTATTATAAACACAAATATCTAGAAACAATTGAATTCTTCCTAAATCATCAAAGGGACTCCAGGTACAGCACAAGACTATGAATGTATGAAACTCATGAGACAGACTATGTAAATGGTCAAACAAGAGATTAATGCACAACCAAAAGAAGACAGTCTTGCAGGATTGACAGGCTAATAGCTAGGCTGAATTTTATACCAGGTCATGTAAATACCACGTCATAGACCATTACACAATCATCAGTTTTATATCACTCTGGTATTTGCACTACACCTTGTGGTAAGTTGTGAAATTATGAAATGTTAGCTAGCTAGCTGTAGCCACTCCACTGAAATCTGGAGCACTTCCTGTGTGCAGTGCTTTAAGAGGGCTGGTATGCAACAGTACACAGTACCAGCACTTTAACGTTTTACCTCTTAGCATACTGGGGCTTTTCTCAGCTGTATAGTGTGTACCAATGGGTTTTCAGCCAATTATCAGTCAAAAACCTCTAAAATGACAGAAAAATAATCTGTTCACCTTCAGGTAAACAACATCTGTCCGTAGTCCCTCACCCCATCTGGTTAACGGAGGGGCTCTTCCCCCACTTGTATGCTCAGCCCTCCGCCCCCCATACTATGGAGATCCATGCCCATCCACCCCAGGTGCGACTTTTCTTAAAGGGGACGGCACTTACGTATAATCGTCTACTTCAAGCGCTGCCTGTTGGGATTTCACAACATGTTTACACACAATGACAATGTAATGTAAAATTCATGGCATTGTCACAGCTTAAATATTAATTGTATAAATTATGACATTTTAAAAGATTACAGCCCTATGAAAAAGTCCTCTATAGATGCGAGTCTTCTTGGATTTGTTATTACTGTGTTCAAAATTTTCACTCATTCACTATGTATTGCACCCTTTTATGACATGACTCATGGTTGTAGCTAAGTTGTAAAATGTTAACATTTCCCACTTTGGTCTAAGAAATTTCCCTTCAATGTTAAACCTCCACACCAAGAAAAAAGCAACAGAAAATGTATCTTTCTTGCATTTTATTATCATTTAAATACAATCATGTGACTGTATTAATAATAATAATGTAAAATTAATAATACCAATACTGAAGTAAAACAGGAAAATATTAAGTTTTTTTATTCAAACATCTCCATGGGGGGGGGGGGGGGGGGTCAGTTATGTTTGTTGCATGTTCTTAAAAAAATTCATGGACACAATGAGCTGTGCCATGTGGTTGATCAGCTAGTTTAAGAGTTAAAAGTTAAGTTTATTTATTACACTATTTGTAACTAAACCAGCTGCTAAGGTACCAGTTGTGTGTTTCATTGAATGTTTTGTGTTCACACCCTCAAGGTGGATCAATGGCAGCTTGCAGGTTTTGGTCGCAAGACTGCTTTGTCAGGGGCATTAGTATAATGTTTTTTACAGGTTTTTACTTAGAAACAACTTGCTTTTTTACTGTTTGGTGAGCAGATTTGACTGGAAATCCATGTGAGACAATAGTGGACTTTATACAACAGTAGAAGGCTTGGTTGTATGTGCAGGAGACCAGCATATTCGCTGGTATAGCTTAATGTCCAGCTGCTTCCAATGTGATATTTAAGATACGGTCATTATCGTGTTTTTGTTTTCGTGCTGATGCTCTCAAGCTGTTGTCAAATCTTTTTGTAGGCGTTGTCTTTTTTGTCTGTTTTTGGACAACTGATGAACAAAGAGTTTAGATTGTTTCTCTTGTTCCTTTTTAAGAATAAGAAACTGCTGCATAGAAAGATGCATTTTATCATGTGTCTTAATTGTCATGGCTATATGATGAACAAGTGAATATTTAGAAATTATATAAAAGAATTGTCAATTGCAGAAAATGGAGAACCTGACTGACCCTGACCCAATCCATGATGTGAACTTAAGAAAATACTTAAATACAAATATACCAGCATCTGTAGATGAGTAATATAACTGAATGAAAGGGATCAATTTCTAAAGAGTTTTGAGCAACAGGGACCTAATCTTTACAGACTGTTAGTGAGACTCAATGTTGTGGATCTGGTTCTCTGAAGATATAGAATTGAGGCCATTTTTAAGAAGTCCCTGGATTAAAATTGCCATGCAGACTAGACCTTTGAGCTTTCAGCCAGTTCACTGTTAGAGGGACTTGTTGTCTTGGGCCGAGTCATGGCATCTACTGATAACAGTACACACCAAATTTCATGGACAGAGCAGGGAACCCAAAGCTGCGTACTCCTGGTAGTGGTGGACCACAGTTAGCCCGAGGATGTGTGATTGAGTAACGGACACTTTTGTCAGCTAGCCAACCTGCATCACAGCGATCCAATCCTGTTAGCTTCCACGCAGCGTATAGGTGGCCAACTTTGGCTATTTGACTTCCATCAGTGGCACAAGCTTCAGTCGCTTCTGTGAAATTGAGTTTGGCTGGGTGGTTTAGGAAGTATACTGTCCCTAAGGCAGGAGAGAATGATCAGTGAATTAAAATGTTCCAACATGAATTTTCTTTAGGGATGCTTCGATCCGATCATGTGATCAAAAATTGGGCCTGATCGGAATCGGGTAGGAAAGATCTGGTGCAACCTTATAGAACAACAAGCATGACCTTTTAAATTCATCTTGAGATAGAGATTTTTAAATGTAATGATGAATCAGTCTTAATTTTAAACAAGTTCCACTACATCATTATTCATTGTTGCATGGATGACAACGCCATGACATCACGTAATTATGGAAGGCATGGATTCAGACACCAAAACATGCAGCTGTTAGCTAGTAAGCTAAAGGCTGAGCTAACACGGCACCTCGGGAGGAGTATGAAAATGTCTGAAGAATGTACGTATTTTAAACCGAACATCAAAGGAAGCCACTTGTAATGAATGTATATGCAATGCTCGGGTTGCACAAGGATGCACAGGGATATCACTTTGCTTTATTCCTGGTGGATTATGCAACTTGGTATCCTGAAGCAGTGTGTTGGACAAATGCTGTTTCAAGTCATCTCGCGCGTTGGGATTTCGACCAGGGCACTTTGTTCATGTCTCGCACACTACATGAACAATATGAATTATTGGGCATTAAGTCGGCTGATACCAGTGTCTACCACCCTCAAACAGATGGGCGGGTTAACCACACCGTGAAGATCATAATTCGGAGGTTCATACACACAGACGAGCAACATTGGGATAAGTGGCTGGATCCTCTGTTTTTGCAGTCCAGGAGGTGCCCAAAGCCTCCACGGGGTTTCCCATTTTGAACTGCTGTTTGGCAGAACCCCCAGGGGTGTGCTGGACTTTATTAAAGCATGCTGGACCTTATTAAGGAAAATTGAAAGGAACGTTCCAGAACAAGCAAAAATGAAGTTCAGTACGTTCTGGACTTAAAACTCCAGTCACTTGGGAAACTTTCACAGGAGCATTTGCTCCAGCCCCAGCAGCAACGAGCATACGACAAAGGGGCTCAGCTACACCAATTTAAGCCGGGAAATAAAGTACTCGAATTGCTTCCTTCTTCTAGCTCCAAACTGCTCGCTAAGTGGCAAGAGCCCTTTGATGTTACATGACGATTGGGAGATGTGGACTGTGAGGTGGAGTGGTCCATCAAAGGAGGAGCCACACAGATCTACCACCTCAACCTCCTGAAAGCTTTGCGTTAGGTGATGCCAGTGTCTCTCGTGTGTGCGGTTCTGGAGAAGGATGAGTTGGGACTAGAAGTAACAAATTCCTCAAATCAGGCCTCGGTCCAGTGTGATGACCATCTCTCCGCCGCGCAGACAGTTGACATATCACGCTTGCAGCAGCAGTTTGAGGACATGTTCTTCCACCTGCCAGGCCACACCAGTCTCATCAAGCCACAGATCACCACCCCACAGGGGTCACCATGCGGGTATGACCCTCTCGACTGCCTGAAAGGAAAAGAGGGCAGGCCAAACAGGAACTGCAAGCCTTGATGGAGATGGGGGTGATAGAAGAGTCCCGAAGCCCATGGTTCAGCCCCATTATACTGGTGAGCAAGAGAGACAGGGGAACCCAGTTCTGCGTGGACTACAAGAGGGTAAATGAGGTTTCACAGTTTGATGCTGACCCCATGTCCCAGGTCAAGGACCCCCTCCACCGTCTGGGCTCGTTCCGGTACTTTACAACGTTGGACCTGACCAAGGGGTACCGGCAGATCCTGTTGGCACCAGAAGACAAGGTGTAAACCACATTCTCCATGCCGTTCGGCCTTTTCCAGTTCAGGAGCATGCCCTGCGGGTTGTTTGAAGCCCCGGCCACATTCCAGTGCCTCATGGATATAATACTGTGGCCACACGCTTCATATGCTGCCACCATAGCAACAACTGGGCAGAGCATGTGCAGCAGGTCACGGCCATGCTGAGGGCACTGAGGTGGGCCAGTGCAGACCCAGGTGGACAAGACCGCAGCATTTGCAGCCTGCCTGCCCCCCCTGAACAAAGAAGGAGGTCAGGCGGTTCTTGGGGCTTGCAGGTCATTTCCACCGTTTTATACCAGGCTTTGCAGCCCTGACCAGTCCCCTCACCGATCTGACAGGGAAGGGGGCCTCGGACCCGGTCTGCTGGACTTCGGCTTGTCAGCAGGCCTTTGACGGGGACCCTCTGTTCTGCTACACTGTTGACCTCTCTCTCTCCTTTTACCCTGCAGACAGATGCCTCGGTCAGAGGAGTGGGGGCAGTTTTGTCACAGAAGGTTGGGAGGGCCAACCGTCAGGTGCTGTACCTCAGCAGGACCGGTAATTGGCATACAGCATGATCGAGAAGGAATGTCCGGCCATCAGGTGGGTGGTCCATGCCCTCAGGTTCTATCTCCTGGGACGGTCCTTCATCCTATGTTCTGACCTGTGCTCACCTGTGCACAAATACAGGAAGAGCACGAGGACGTGTGACGCGTGTGAGAGTGACTGGAGAGATGCAAAGGACGCAGCTGCTGGGGAGACAGAGCTTATGTGGAACAGAAAATAAAGCTGTTCGGCCTGTTGGATCGACATTGTGTTGTGTGTCCCTGAACGTAGCTGGTAGCTAAATTGTCAGTGGACATCCTGAATAAGTGATGTTTTAAAAAAAAATAAAAATAAATCAAGGAAGTGACAGCTAAAGAAAGAAAGAGATAAATAATGAAAAACTTAAAGGACAAGTTGGGTGTGCTCTCATTTTTTTCTTATTCCTATATTAATGCATTGCTGAAGTATCGGATCAGGACTTGATATCGGCAGATACTCCAAAAAAAAAAAAAGATCAAAACATCCCTAATATTTTTATTTTAAAATGTACTCATACTGACCTTTGACAGTGGCAGAGAAACAGAAAGCATCATAGTGGTGGAGAAGGCGATGTCTGTGTCCATAGCTGCGCACACCAGGAGCTAAATTCCCACCGCAACCATCACGTGGGGCATGGATTGGATACTGTACTGTACCGTCAGCCAACCAGCCTGCATTGCACCAGTCCAGCCCCTCCTCCCACGCTGTGAAAAGCTGCTCGAACGTAGCCAGAGTAGCGTCCTGATCTTGACATGCTCGTTGGGCCCGAAAGAAGTTATAATGGTAACGTCCTTTCTTAGAGAAGTAGGGAAATACCACACCTATAATGGGAATGTGTCAAAAGCGCAAAAACAATAGAAATCTGTGAGGGGATGTACTTATTGTTAACCATTAAAATATTGTTTTGTGCTGCTGCCTCAGTCTGCACTGGAAGACAAGGTGCTTATTAGCCCCCATTTACAGCTGTAAGTTACTCGTCAAGTGGCAAAGACCCTTTGAGGGCACACAGAGAGTCAGGGGCATGGTATGTGAGGTCGTGTGGTTCAACTGGGGTGGAGCAACAGAGATCTACCTCCTCCTCTGTAAATACACACATGTGCTACGTGGTGTGTGACCCCACCTTGAGGTGACATTGATATTAATGATGTAAATTGTTCACATCCATTCACCTGATCCAGTTTTTTCTTTGTGTTTGTCTCACCTCTCAGCTCCAGGTCCACAGTCACGCTGTCATCCTCCAGGCCGTCGATCACTTCACAGCGGTACCTCCCTGTGTCATTCAGCTGCAGCTCATTGATCACAAGAGACATGTCTCCTGGAGCTGAGCGTCGCAAGCGCACGCGGCCTTTAAAGCTGCCATAGGTACGATGATGATTGCCCATGGCAACCATCACTTCAGTTTCTTGGACAACGGCTTTGGGTGTGTTGATGATGTTGGAAGGTAACCAGGACCATTTGACTCGGGTTCTGCGTGGGGCTGATAGTTCAGGCTCATAGTGGTAGTGACAGGGAAGAGTGGCACTGCTCCCCCTGGTGGCTGACACTGAATGCTGGGACGATTCCACATGAAGACTAATCCCATTGAAATAAACTGGAAAAGCACAAAACATTAGTTTAATTGATGGATGGATTTGAATAAGGATGTCTGATTTATTGCAGAGTAGATATTGTCTGAATTTTTGACAGGAAAAATACAGTTTTTTCCCCCAACGTGTTAAGATGGGAGTAAGCACACACTGTCCTGTAAACCAAGGGGATATTGTTTGATGCAGATGATCCAAATAACATCCCATAAAAATAAGTTCCTATGCTAAAATAATTAACAGGTCTGGTGGCTTCAACTTGAGTGTTACAAGAAGCAGCATCCATGAGGATAACTGTTCCCCCATCAGGCCGATGTGCCTCAGTTCCATCAGTGAAGCGTTTTGGGGGGTGGTCTGGTCTGTTTAATGATAACTAGCTAAACAGGTAAAGATTGAATGGCAGCTGTCTCCTCTTTAAACATTTGTGAATCTTTCCTCATCTCTTAAGGCCTTGAGGGAGGTCCTGACAACCTGGACAGCAGTCCTCATGCCAGCATCGGCTACAGCTCTCTTATGAGAAGTGATGTTGAAGCATTCAAGTTCACAAATAACGGATGAGGCAAAGATGAGAGCCCACACTGTTTTGCCTTTCCTGAACTGCCCTAGCAGGCCATTAGCCATACACGCAGTGTTTGAGGCAAGCCAGCTACAATGGCTTTGTCTAATACTGTCCATCTAGTGGGACAAAGGAGTTGTATCTTTAACTACTTCAGCAAGTTATTTTCCCGTTGTTCTCAGAATCAGAATAAAAATCATTGACTTCTTCATGGGGAACAAGTCATTGTCAACATATCTGATAGCCTCAATGTAGCCTTTAGTAATATCTTAGACTCAATTGGTTTTACTCAAAGAATACATAGCTCCACCCACAGCTAGAGTTCTGATGAGAATTAGAAAGAGAGATCATATCTCTCCTGTCTTAGCTTCCCTACATTGGCTACCTGTTAAATTCAGAATAGATTTTAAGATCCTTCTTCTCACATATAAAGCTCTTAATAATCAAGCTCCATCAAACATCAGTGATCTGATTGTTCCATACGTTCCTAACCGAACACTTCGCTCTCAGACTGCAGGTTTACTGGTGGTTCCTAGAATATCTAAAAATAGGATGGGAGGCAGATCTTTTAGTTATCAGGCTCCTCTCCTGTGGAACCAGCTCTCCAGCCTTAGTCCGTGAGGCAGACACTTTGTCTACTTTTAAGAATAGGCTTAAAACATTTTTATTTGATAGGGTCTATGGTTAAAATCTGATGTTAGCCTAAATCTGGACAAGTGGGGGAGTACAGGGAGGTGGAGTGTACAGTCGGTAAAGACGGCTCTCCCTTGCCCTGCCTCCAACATGCCTCCATCTAAAAAGGCTAGGTTATCCAGAGTTATCACTGTAGTTATGCTGCTATAGGCTTAGACTGCTGGAGGATACACTGACCACTTTTCACACTCTACTGCTTTCTTCTACAATCTGTTCTTTAACTGTATTATTTTCTGCTATTTCAGCTGTTAACTTTATTTTCTCTCTAAGTGTTTTTCTCCCCAGAAGAAGCTACAACGACGTTCTGCTGAGCTGTGGTGGCCTCATGGAGGGGGCCATCGACTAGCACACTGCTGCTAACCACTAAAACATTCTCCCTCTCCTGATAATAACTTTTTGCTTTCCTTGATGTTGGATGTGCTAATACTAGTTTACCCGTTTAATTATAGATCCACTAGGACAAATACAATAAAGTTTATCTCTCACCAAATAGAATATTTACTAAGACATCACAATATAACTATAGACACATTGCTTGGTGTGTGTGTGTGTGTGTGTGTGTGTGTGTGTGTGTGTGTGTGTGTGTGTGTGTGTGTGTGTGTGTGTGTGTGTGTGTGTGTGTGTCTGCTCTGTCTTCTCCATCCCCAGTGAGTCGTGGAGGATGGCTGCTTATACTGAGCCAAGATCCTCTGGAGGTTTCTTCCTGTTAAAAGGGAGTTTTCCTCTCCACTGTCGCTAAATGCTTGCTTAGTGTGAGGATTGCTGTAAAGTCACTGACACTAGTCAGTGACTTGATGCGATTTGCTGGGTTCCTTATATAGGAAACATTTTTCCTGATTGGCTTAATGAACTGACCTGAATTGGAATGTTTATTATGTGAAGTGCCTTGAGACGACTCTTGTTGTTATTTGGCGCTATATAAATAAACTTGAATTGAATTTAACAGGCAAATACTTTCTTGTTCTAGCCCAGAATTGTCTTGTGTTCCGTCGATAATAATAGCACACTGAAGAACTGGTAGAGCCCAATCATGTCAGCTGTTCCACAAACAGTCTTGTTGCTCATTGTAAAAGTCATTCTGGATCTGTGGACTGTTGTACTAATTATGGAACCTCTGCCACCATTTCTGATAGAAGGACATCCTCTGCTTTGTCTTTCAAGAGTTGGTAAAATTACTGTTTTCATCCTCATGTCCTCTCGAGGCCTGTTCCTGTTTTACTGAACTCAGTTTTCCCCCAAACAATGTCGGCTACCTGTTTGTTGATTTGCCAAAGCACTGGAAAACTAGATATCTAGACAAATCGTTGCATAGGTAAAAGATTTTGCTTTGCAGGTCAGTCTTGCGAGAGGAGGAATTTTGTCACACTCCTTTTTAACCCTCCCACTGTCCTAATGGTTGTGACCCCGCAAGGAAAGTTGACCATTGAGCAGGGTTGATGGTTTATCCCTTGGGCCCATGTGGCAGGAGTGAGCACCACCTCACCCCTGCCACGTGGACCTCAAGGGATAAACCATCAATCCTGCTCAATGGTCAACTTTCCATGCGGGGTCACCCATAAAGACAGTGGGAGGGTTAAGTAATGGTTTGAATTAGGACACATTGAAGGGTTTTCCAGCAGGAATGACCTGTTTAAGGTTAAAGGTCAGACATTAACCTTCAGGATTATCTGCTAGAGAACAGAATTCATCTTCTCATCAATTACAGCAAGTGTTCTTCTGAAATTAATCTAATCCAACAGAGGCCTGCAGGGCTTTACATGTAGGTATGTTGCTTTTTGAGATCTTTTGATCTACGTCATGTTGTCAAATAGGTTCTAATACAGTAATTTCTTAAGGTCTGCTAGTAATTGAGTCTCGATGTGGCTGGTGGAATTGAACTCACCTTTACTAATAATCTGGTTAACTGCAGTTTAATAATTTAACAAGAGGTGTGAATAATTTTTCACATGAACTCAGGCTGAAACTGCTGCAAAATCTGAAAACAAAGTTGAATCAACATGAATTAATTCTTTATAAAATGATCTTAAACATGGACTGATTCACCAGCACCGCTCACTAGAAAACGTTTTGTTTACAGCTGCTGGCGCCCTCAACACCCTAAATTATAGAGCGCTAGTATTCCCACATCCAGGTCACTTGCAGTCTGCTGTTATGTTGTAAACAAACAATGTGTGTAGCTCATTTACGTTTCACAAAGAATCCCACATCACCTACTCTCTTCGTTTCTGTTCCCGTTGCTGATGTCCTGGTAGTGAAAGCCGTTGTTGTACCAAAGGGTCCTGCTGTGGCTGCAGGGGAGCAGCAGATACAGGAGGACCACCAGCAGGGGGCGCTGTAGGCTCAGCATGGCTCTGCTGAGGAGATGACAGCATAATTCAAATGTATTCATTATCTAAAAGCATAAGAGGAAAAAAAACATAGTAGTTATAGAAAATGTAATAAAATACAAATTTCGTTGAGCTACAAGTAAATGAAATAGCTCACTAACTACCTGCGTCAGAGACTCCACCAGCACAAGATACTAAGTCAGGTTAAAAATAAACTGCTGTGATTTCAGTGGATTTAATTTCGTAAGGCTAAAAGTTTTACATTTTAAAAGAGGGAAAAGCTACATTTTTAAATACAGCAGTGAACTTGCACTTATTATAAAGGAAATATTTGACAGGAAATACATAAAGTGCAACATTGGGGGGGGGGTCTGAAATGTCTGAAATGTGCTGAAGCAAATCGTTAACTCCTTCTTCAGCTGAGTAGTACAAACAGTGTATAAATAGTAAATAAACGTATTTTTGTGAGCTGCTGTTCCAGTCAGCGTCGACTGTCTCACATGAAACATCAGTCAAAACAATTTAAATTTCTATTTGGTAACTAATTCTGGAATAAATTATCAATGTTTTAAATTAAAGTTAGTGCGCCTATGTGACAAAAAGTGCGCCGTGGGGAACAAAAAAAAACACTCACAGATAAGAAGTCCGTCCTGTGTGTCCTGAGCTCGGTTCAGCTCATGTCCTCCTCATCCTCTGTCTCTGCTGAACTGGGCAGCCTGAGGAGCGCGCAATGACGTCACCAGCCGAGGGTTCCCCTTTGAAGCGATGCGACCACACGAGCTTCTTTTGTATGGAAAGCCTTTGTATGGAAAGCCATTTGTGTATTAATTTTAGTCATTTTTTTAATCGTAGACTACTAATTGAAACAACAATGCACGGGTACTCAAAAATATGGTGCAAAAGCCCATTTGTTCAGACAGAGACCATTTAAAGGCTAAGAACCCATCTGCAGGTGTTTTGGGTTAATGAGCTGATTACAATGTGACACTGAGGCCACTGAGGGTACTCAGGTACTTAAAAAATGATGGACAACCCTGAGGATCCTCTTCATGGCACGGTCATGCAACAACAGAGTATCTTCTGTCAGAGGCTTCTTTGGACTTGCTGTAATTCAGACCGCTACAGGAGATGCTTCCTGCCCACAACATTGAAGAATATGAACTAATATAAAATAATTTTTGTTGCTATTATTTTATTGTTTTTACTATTGCGTTAAAGAATGAGTTACAAAAACACTTACTGTCCATCTGGGATTAATAATATATTTTTGAATTGGAATTCATCTTGAAATTCTCAGTACCTTCCAGAATGAGCAGTTTCCAGGCTTGGTCACTTTGAGGAAGAAAACACAGTACCCCTCCCAACGGAGGGCCCAGTGATGCCTTCAACAAAATATGGAATAAATTCAGATTTTATTTTTGTCAAAATAAGGCGTGTTTGAAACAGATGTAGTACTTGAATTATACAACAGCTTTATTTGTTCTATTCATAATTTTCCTTGGTATAGTGGTCTACCCTGCTGACCTCATTAACAAAGTGTGAACCCCAATTGGTGTTCTTTAATAACTCATTTTAAAGCCAAACCATACTTCGTTTAAATAAGCAGAAGATACCCATAACACTCCACGTGTGTTTTACGATTTTTCTTTTACCTGATAATAAAAATGTGACTCAACTCTAATCAAGGAGTTAAAAAATACTAATTCCCTAAAAAAAACATTAGTTTGTTGAAATAATAAAATGTAAAAGAAAAAATCAGTAGTTAAAAAAAGTGTCCTGTTAGCAGCTCTGGCAAAGCTCCCGGTATTTTTGGTGCTTGGCATGTCAAGGCTGATGGAGCATGTTCTACCGCTTAGTTTTGCTTTGACCTCACACAGCAAACCTTAGCCTGTAAACTCATATTTCAGTCGTTTGTTGCAACAATAGCAGACTTGGTGGAAAACGAGCGGCTGGGACCAGGAAGAATGTGCTGCTGTAAATATCTGAGTGAAGCATGGTTATCGCAGTACAGCAAAAAGGTACCCTGCCTACTCTGGAACTGACCCAGGGCTCCTGTTGTTGTTGTCTCTACTGGCAATCATGTCCCTATCTAAAGGAACCAGAGAACACAGAAAGTTCCTCTGCAATCAGGCCTTGGCTGCCGGTCATCCTGCCAGAATAACAACATAGCAGCATCTCAGCAGAGGTGGGTGTAGTGGCTGTCCTGGTTCCAGAGATCTCAGAGTCTTTAGACTGTTTATTCAGATCAAATCACTTTAATTTTGTTCACCATACTCTGTTGTTGTACTCATGCACAAAGTTCCAGTAGAACATTACTCCAGTCATGCTGTAAATCATGCTTCCTTAGTCTGAACAAAACAGGACCTGAAAGTATCATAAATCACTTTCTATGCAAATTTTGTGATTTTTAGAAAAACAAACATGACAAGAAAATGTGCTATGCTAACTCAGACCCTTGTGCACGCACATTTTAGCTACGGACGATCACGAGATTAGCTGATTTAGGTTCTCTAGAGCGGTCCAAGAGTGTTGGATTAACTGATCCGCCGGAACCATGAAATCCCCTGCAGCTGTTCAACTCTTGTTTTTTTGTTTGTTTGTTTTTTTTGCTACCAGCTTGTTGCAATGGGATTTAGCAAACATGTAAGATATTTGTTTGATACACATTTCCTGTCTAAAGTGTCTTTGGATTAAACCGTATATGTCTTAAGTGCATTTTTTTGACTGACAGGTGTATTTTTGTGAATTATTTTGACTATGCTACTGCAATTTGTCTATTTTTTGGGGATAATAATATTTTTGGGGGGATACCAAAAATAATTTTAAAAATTACCCTACTCCACTTAATGCAACACTGAAATAATTTTGTAGCGTTACAGCCCTCTGCATTTTTTGCCCCATTGACTCCCATGTAAATCATCTTTTTCTAATAAGCCTAACTATTAGGATATATATATATATATATATATATATATATATATATATATATATATATATATATCATACACACACATATATATTATTCTGTCTGGGTTCCCAGGGCAGTTGCAGACTCAATTTTGAGTTTTTAATGTTTTCCACTAGACTGCAAATTTTCCCTATGTATACCGGGGCAATAACTAACACTACATTCAGATTCCAAAAATTAAATTTAAATATTTTTATGCCCATTTATGACACTCCAATGTGTTGAAAATTCGCCCATAAAACAAATCATCGGGACATAACACACAAATTTTTAAATATTTTTTTACATTTCTGGTTATGAGCGTGCACCTGACAATAAAGAGGGAATTAGAAAGACAAAAACTCAGGAACGTATAAATATTTTATTATATTTTGTGAGGTCTGAAGCCAAGGACAAAATTCAGTTAAAAAACTGGGAGTTTTGAATTATTATATGAGGAAGTATTGTGTCTGCATTTCTTTGCGCGCCAAGGTTAAAATCGTGACTTTTTTTTTTAGAAAACATGAAATTACACAATACTATTAAGTAAGCAAAAACCATTTTTATATCTATTTGTGACACTCCAATTATGTGACTGTTTAATGCCAAAACAGTTCATCTGAACATACACAAACACAAAAAATTAATTGATTTTAATTTTTTTTTACATTTTTCACAATTCTGGTATTGATAATAAAGATGGCAATAAAGGGGTTGAATCTCAGAAACACACACATTTTTAATATATTTTGTTAGGACTGAATCCAAGGATGAAATTTGCGTAAAAAAATTGGGACATATGAAATATTATATTATATTTCTATAGGAAGATTTTTATGTGCATTTTTTGTGCTCAAACACCAGAATCGTTAGAAAATTAAAAGTTAATATAAGGGTTAATTAAATATTTTAATTGAATTTCCCCCTAGATCTGGATAATCTGTCATCTCATAAGCACCATATCAGCCATTAGCATCATTATAAGGAGCATTGTCATTGTTTGCCTTGTACAGCAATCCCCATACTAAGCAAGCATGTAGCAACAGTGGAGAGGAAAACTCCCTTTTAACAGGAAGAAACCTCCAGAGGATCCTGGCTCAGTATATGCAGCTTCCCGCTACAACTCACTGGGGCTCGACAGAGCAGACATACGCACAACATAAATGCCAAGTAGTGTTTTGTTGGCAAAATATGTAGCAATTTCTTAGATTTCTTAGATTCTATTTCTTAACAAAATAAACTTTATTGTCTTTATCTTAGTGAATCTATAATTAATTCAATGGGTGAACTAGTAGTAGCACATTCCATGTTAAAGAAAGTAAAATGTTATCAAAAGTGGTTAGCAGCAGTGTGCTAGCCGATGCCCCCCTCCACGAGGCTACCGCAGCTCAGCAGAAAACCATTGTAGCTTCTTCTGGGGAGAAAAACTCTTAGAGAGAACTAAAGTTATCAGCTGAATAAGGGAAAAAAATGCAATTAACTGTTCGCCCCCGATGGCTCTTAGTCCTAACAGAACCAGTGGGGCCATTGGCTTAAGGGCTGCGACTAGACTCATAGAATCTGGGGTTACAATACGTAACCACTGTTCTATTTCGTCTAGTCTCAGCCCTTAAGCTAGCTGCTAATGGAATAATGCACAGCTGGATGGGTTTACGCCACACTGGTTAGCTCAACCAATGGACACACCCAACATGCCTCCTTTTAGCGAGGGTCGCTCAGCCTCAGCCCAGAGCTTAAAAGGCTGAGGCAGCCAGAGAGAAGAGTGGGGCCCCCACTAAAAATATCATCCACAAGAGGATGAAATTCATTCAAGTAGGGCTTAAGGGCTGCGACTAGACTCATAGAATCTGGGGTTACAATACGTAACCACTGTTCTATTTCGTCTAGTCTTAGCCCTTAAGCTAGCTGCTATTGGAATAATGCACAGATGGATGGGTTTACGCCACACTGGTTAGCTCAACCAATGGACACACCCAACATGCCTCCTTTTAGCGAGGGTCGCTCAGCCTCAGCCCAGGGCTTAAAAGGCTGAGGCAGCCAGAGAGAAGAGTGAGGCCCTCACTAAAAATATCATCCACAAGAGGATGAAATTCATTCAAGTAGGGCTGATGTGGTGCCATAATGCTTTCACTCAGCCTGCTGAGGTCCAAGCACTGAACGAGTGAAGGATCCTGAAGCCACATCTCATAAATAATAACGAGTAAAGGAACAGGGTGAAGCCCATGAAGCAGCCTGACAAATGTCCCCCATCGACACACCACTGTGGAGCGCCATAGAAGAGGAAATCCCTCTGGCTGAGTGAGCCCTGAGTGTCTCAGGAGGATCCCGCCCTGATGATGTGTAAGCGAGTGAAATGGCGTCACACAGCCAGTGTGAAAGATGCTGGATCGACAGCGCTTGCCCAAGGGAAGAATCTCTGTAGTGCACAAACAGGCTTTGTGAGTGGCGAATCCCTGAAGTGCATGACACATATCGTGCAAGCGCGCGCACTGGGCAGAGACGGTGGGAAGCCGCCTCCTCATCAGAATTATGGGGAGGAGGAAAAAGTCCAGCCAATGAAATTGACCTGGATTTGAAGGAAGTATTAATGTTTTTGGGCACGAAGGCTGGGTTGGGGCGTAAAACAGCAGACCCGCCATCTTCCTGGATCCTGAGGCATGCAGGAGCCACTGAGAGGGCGGTTAGGTCGCTCACCCTCTTGACTGATGCCAGCGCCAGCAGCAAGGCAGTTTTGAGTGGCAGGAACTTAAGTGAGACCTGGTCCAAGGGTTCAAATGGGGCTTCAGATAAGCTGCGCAGAACCACCGTTAGGTCCCACTGGGGAAATAGCGGGCAAGACACAGGTCTGTTCCTTCTGACACCTTTTAGAAAACGTTTTGTGAGGGGATGATTGAAAACAGATCTATCTCCAAAACCCTGGTGACAGGATGAGATAGCTGCAGCATATGTTTTAATAGTGCTGAATGCGAGGCCCATGTCCATGAGCATCTGCAGAAACGATAGGACATCCGCCAGCTGGCAGGAGAGCTCTTGAACATTCCGTTCTGTGCACCATTTCTGGAAAGCTGCCCAATTTAGCAGCATAAGATGTGACGGTAGAAGGCACCGCGCACTCTGAATCGTGGCGACCACATCATGCGGCAGCCCAGAAGCCTCTAAGCGTGACCGCTCAGCGGCCAGACCCACAGCCATTGGCCTATTTCTGGAGGATGTTTGATTATCCCATCCGCCTGGAGAAGGGCGTCCGCCCTCCACGGAAGCCTCCACGGGGAGCCGGACACTAGCGCTTGCAGGTCTGGAAATCATGACGCAGACAAGCGTCTGGGAGCTACCAGAATTACCGAGAGCTGTTCCGACCGAACTCGGTCCAGGAGACGGGGAATCAGTGGGACTGGCGGAAACGCATACAGGAGCGTCTGAGGCCAGGGCTGGTGTGAGAAGGCATCTGCTCTGAGTGGGGGGTGGTCCCGGGGACTCAGGGAAAACCACAGGCGACACTGACAGTTTTCGCGAGCCGCGAATAGATCCACAGAGGGTTCCCTGAACTTGATCCAGATCTGTGATATCAGTGCGGGATGCAGACGCCAGTCGGAGTCGCGGGGTCCCCCTCTCGACAGAATGTCTGCTGCCACATTTAGGACCCCCGGAATGTAGGTGGCTTTGATGGACAGCAGGTGGACATGTGCCCAACACAGTAAATCTGTGGCTATGCACAATAGTGGGAGGGATCGAACTCCCTCTTGGTGATTTATGTAGGCTGACGCCAGCTGGTTGTCTGTGTGAACTTCGACATGACGGCCCTCAAGAAGGGCAGCGAAGTGTCTGATCCCAATCCTCACTGTCACAAGCTCCAACACATTTATGTGCTCGTGCGTGTGGGAGGGCCAGCGATCTGCCACCGTATGGGACAAACACGTGCCGCCCCATCCCAACAGTGACGCATCCGTAAACACAGATACGTGTGACGTAGGACGTCCGAGTGGGACCCCGTGTGAGAGGATGCAGGGATTCCCCCAGTGAGCAAGGTTCCCGCCCACTGAAGGGGGAACCCTCAACATACGACTCTTCTGACGTATCGGGTGTACCCGGAGGCAGACGAACCAATGCTGTAGGCGTCTCGTGTGCAGTAAACCTGACGGCACCACAACGTGGGCAGCAGCCATCATGCCCAGAAGTTTCATGACTAACAGGGCTCTCACGATCTTGCGGGGTTGCACGCGGGAGATCACCATGGTGAGATCTGCCGCTCTCGCCGGAGATAAAAGTGCTCTCATTAGGGAGATGTTGAGCTCCACCCCGAGAAACACAATCGACTGGGATGGAAGGATGGAGCTCTTTTCCCAGTTTAAAGAAAACCCCAGGGTTGACAGATGCTCTATTAACTTCCTGGTTTGCTCTGACGCCTCGTCCTTGGACCGGGCGCATAGGAGCAGATCATCCAGGTAAAATAAAACCCTCATTCCCGCCGTGCGCAAAGGCTGCAGAGCGGTCTCCAGACATTTGGAGAAGGTGTGCGGGGCTAGTGAGTAGCCGAAATGGAGACAATTGAACTGATATTGATCTCCCTGGAATGAAAAGCGCAGGAACTTCCAGTGTTTGGGAATTACTGGGATGTGGAAGTATGAGTCTTTCAGGTCTATTGACGTGAACCAGTCTCCGGAGTGCACGTATTCTAGGACTTGCCTCATTGTTAACATGCGGAAATGCATCACTGCTATGGAGCAGTTGAACAGGGAAAGGTCGAGAATTGGTCTCATTCCTCCCGACTTCTTCGGTACTACGAAGTGGCGGGAGTAGAAGCCCGAGAGCTCTTGCCCGCGAGGAACTTGGGAAATGGCGTCCTTGGACAGAAGTTCCCGTAGCTCCAGCTCCAGGGCCTAAGATTGTTCCTGTGACGTGAATGTCGTCTCCACGATCCCGTTGAAGGGAGGGGGAGCGGACTGAAAATTGAGTGTGTGACTGTAATGAATGGTCTCCGATATC